GGCAGGTATTCAGTGAGGTATAGACGAGGATATGTGACGCAATGAACCAAACCAAGGATAAAAAGCTGAGAATAGTGGTGAAGGACTGAAGGGCACGCGGCACTGGATGTACGCGGCCTGCATGGATGAACTGGGGCTGGCCAGGACCGTTTAGTGGACCAACGGGTGGCGGCAGTGTCTGATTATTTGGAACAGCATTCTCTTCGATTCCATTTGCGGGATCATAAGTGAACTCTAGTAGGCTTCAACAGGTTGTTAGCAATCACGTCAGAGGTCTCAGTGATGCATTGACATACCCCGGGCGTATCAGAATGAAGCTATATATACTTATTGCTAAACCGAGTGCTACTCTGACTGCCCATACGATGAGCCATGCACCTAGTGGACGATCGCAGGCTTCCCACTCAGTGATACCCGGCTTCGTAGGACTTTGAGTCCGAGCAGAGATCGCAGATAGGACGGCTATTGCTGTAATCTATAGTAAAGAAAGGGATTTAACGAATAGGTTTGAGGGAAGAATACTGAAACTAACCTGAGCAATACCCAGTACCAGCTTGAATGCGAGTGTGAATGCATGCTTCCTCAATAATGTTCCTCTACTTCCGTATCCCATCAGGCCTACAACGGAGTGCCATGGATGCCAGCCATGATCTGGCCCTTGCGCAGCCGGGAGAGCAGCGGCGGTATTGGCGCTGGCGGGCTGGTTTGATGCTGGTCGATCCAGATTGGGTGAATCTCCTGCTACGACATGGGGATCCATCCCTACGGGGCGAGTTTGGAAAAGAGACAAGGTTGATGAAGGCGACTTGAAAGGCTTGAAGGAGAGGAAGTGGCCAAATGAAGTCTCAAAGCCTCCACTTGCCATTTCCCGCCGTCATCTCAAAAATTTCTCACACGCAAGTGTGACCAACTTATGCGAGTGAGTATTCGCAAAGGCAGTAGATTTATTGTAGCATTTGTCGTGAAAACTTGTGCTAAGTATTGAAATCGAGACATCGGCAGTGCCATGCCACATTTCGAGCCGATGGTCGGCGTTCACGTTGTGCACTTGCAAAATGCGGCTTAAAATATTGTTTATAGTTGAAAGAAAATGAGGATGCGAATGTGTGTTGAACCCTTTGGTGCAGGGAGTGCCGTCTGCCCACGAAAAGTTGATATCGAGGAGTTGGAAAGACTCTCTAAAAAGGGTTCAAGTACTGCATGGGCTACAAATGCTCTCACACCAACCGAGGCTCCAGCCAGCAGTACAAGTGACTCGGCAGGAAGGAGTCC